AATAGAATCTTTCTTTAATTTGAAAATTTAAATCAGTGCACAATAAACTATGCAGCTGTCTTATGTGTTTAACAAATTCTTAGAGTATCTCACATTAATACATATACATACGCACGGACATGTGCATACACAAGTCATTCCTTTCGAGTTTATATATTAAGAAGCTTTGGAAATTTTCATAAAAATCCTTTGGCTTGGGTATTAAAAATTAAAAAGAAAAGTTTAAACAAAAATAAGGTGCTCCTTGGGGAAAAAAGGGGCGCGCAGAGCTGCACATCCCACGCGCTTCGGCCTTGCGCGCGTATGGTACATGGGTGCGCATAGAGGGTTGCACACCGGGGTAGGACCCATATATATTATGCATGTGTATACACAAATGCTCTTCCACGCGAACAAGTACTCGACCTTCAGTTGGCCTAAATTGGCTCCTGCAACTCGAGGGGCTTGCCCTTGTTTATCTGCCCCCATCCAATCAAACGCCAGTGCTTGTCGACTCGCCTGCTTAGGGCTATTTTGTCCCCAATTTTTGTGCAGACCGGGCCGGTTAATTCCAACTTGGCCAACTCAGATTTAATGCCTGTAACTCTGCACCCGATGGAAGTGGAGCCAATATTAATCATTAAGAATTCTCCATTTTTTAATTTTGCTACCTTTGTATTTTTTTCACCATCCTGAGATTTCACCCCTAATAGTCTTCTCAGCAAATAGTAGGAGATTTCGATTTCTGCAAAACAATCTGGTAATTTATTTAAATGCCCAATAACCTGACCAACCAATCGATCAGCTCTCGTTAAAATGGGATCAATTCGTGTTCCAACTCCAATTAGTCCACCCGGGACGGCATATTTTAAATTATTATTTTCAGCAAACATGGACAATATTTGCGATATGATAGGTCTGCAGGTAATTTCTCCCTTTTCATCTTTCGAAATAATACCGGGTCGAATTTCGATTTTATCCCCTACTTTTAACACACCATGTAGAATACTCCCCCCGGCAACCCCGCCCTGTAAAGTTTCAATATCTTCTCCGGGTTTGTTAACATCGAATGATCGAATAACAATCATGTGTGGGGATGATATGAAGTCCCTCTTTGGTATACTTATCTGTGTAACTATGTACTCACATACTACATCGATGTTGTACTTTAGGACAGCACTGATAGGGATGATGGGGGCACTATCAGCAGCTGTGCCAGAAACGAAGTTTCTAATTTCTTCCTGCTGCTTTAAGGCTTGTTCTTCCTTAATTAATTCTACCTTATTTTGTAGAATTAAAATATGTTTTAATCTCATAATTTCGACGGCAGCTAAATGTTCAGATGTCTGCGGTTGTGGACAGGACTCATTCCCTGCAACCAGTAACAGAGCTGCATCCATAACTGCTGCACCATTTAACATGGTTGCCATTAAAATATCATGTCCTGGGCAATCAACAAAGGAGACGTGCCTTAATAATTTCATTTTATGTTGACAATTTTCACGAGGACATATTGGGTCATCTTCTTTGCAACTTTCGTATGATCTGTAACATTCTGGGGGTAAACAATCTGGGTTGGTACATTTATATATTTTTGCATTCGCATACCCCAATTTTATGGTAATATTTCTTTCCTTCTCGTGCTTGAATCGGACTGTGTGCACCCCCGATATAGCATGAACAAGTGTTGACTTTCCATGGGCCACATGCCCTATCGTGCCAAGGTTGATGGTGGCTTGCCTGCTTATGACATCTTCGCTTAGGGGGGTTAACTTGGTTACGTCTAGCGTTTCTAAGTTCTGCTCGGCCAATTTATCCTTCTCATTAATATTCATTTTAGGTTCACAAACGGGGAAAATGAAAAAAAAGGGGAAAAAAAGGGAAAACGTGCAAAAGAGGGAAACGTGCAAAAAGAGGACACCGTGAGCGAGCGGCAGTACGGCACGTATGTTGCAATTGGGTGGTTTATCCAAAATCGGTCAACAGGTGCGCAAAAATAAAAACAGGTAGCTGCGCGCAGTGTGAAGCAGGTTGGTGGACGAAGCAAATATATGCTTACTAAAATCGGATCGATGTTAAACAAATTTGCACAAATGATAAGAAGCTATAGATCATAGTTTTAAATGTTGAACATATAATCATTCGTATTTATATATATGCGTGGTTATACGACATAATATAACGAAGCTTCGGCTGCGTCCCCCGGGGAGCTACTTAATTCTGGCCTACGTGCCTCCCGCGTGTTTCTTCACGTTCGAATGGGCGTGGAAATAACACGAGAGCTCCTTCCTCCTGAATATATATATGTTATGTTCATACATGCGTACCTTTGGAGCGCGATAATTTGGACACGTTTGCCTGTAATATGGAGCTGGCGCAGCAAATGGGGTATATATGCGCATGAACGCATGTAAGCCTGTCGACACGTACACATAAATGCATGCGCGCGCGAGCGTGTATATGAGGAAGGTTCTCCAATATATGTAATTATGACGCGCGTCACATGAGTGATAATTCTCAGTACAAAGGACGTTTCTGCATAGACCTATGCATGGATGTATATACGCACGCCTATGTAGGCATTCAAAACATTCGTGGGGTTAACAAAATTATATATATATTATGTACGTTATTGGTAGTGTTATCACAATACAGTTATTATATAACTTGGCATTGGTAAAAATGTGAACTTTGTTTTTTTTTTTCCCCCTTTAATGGAAAAAATTCTTGAATTATTAATCTACTCTCATCTACTATTTTCCCTTTAAAAAAAAAAAAAGAATTGTTGCTCTATTGCTTGGATGGATGTTTTTTTAGAAAAGAATAAATTATTCTTTTATTCTCGTTCGAGTGGGTGTATGGGGGAGGCCCCCCGCTCCAAGGCGCATATGCTGGTGGTATTATATACGTATAAGTGACACGTACATACGTGAATTCAATTCATATAATACGTATTAATACGAGGCGCGTGCGATAACACCTTCGTGCATAGTCACCATGCCGTCGTACACATGCCCGCTTGATACACGACGAGCCTTCGCCCCCGTTTTCGGGCTTTTTTTTTCGCGCATCCTTCCACATGTATAATACCACTATAGCACGTGTACCATGCTCAAGTTAAGGTCCTGTACGATTACGTCGTTTTGGCCAAACCGTTTAAAGGTTATCAAGTAAATTTTATTTTATTTCTTCGTAGATTCTGGTGTGACAATTTTCTTCAATATAGGAATTGCCAAATTGGAAAATTACCAAATAGTCGATTTCTTCGATTTTTAATGGAGCAGGGGCTCCAGCAATTTTTTCACGTATATTGCTCGTCAGGCAGCATTGCGCATTCGCAGCATATAAAGGCAACCGCAGAAGGGACACACGTGCATCTATAGTATACCCATAAACCTGTTTATACATTTAGGCATATGTATACATGTATAGACTCTTCGACCGCGACGGGGGCAAAAGCTTAATTCCTCTGATTTTACACCATTGCTGCGCCTATTTTGTACTCCTATTTGTTCACTATTTTTTGTGGTTACTATTTATTTGTTTATTCGTTGGTTTATTCCGGTTTTATTATTTTTTTTCATTCTCTCAATTTTGCTGCATTTACTTTTTACGCTTTTGCGTTTTTTTTTTTTTTTTTCCTTCATTTTTATACACATAAGTGGTTTACATATGCGTGCCCCACACGCAGTAACGTTGCCGTTGCATTTTTTATCCCAAAAATTGGAAGCGGCAAATTTAGTTTTATACGAAACCCAAAAGGGAAGAGACTACGGAATTTTTTTCCTTTTTTTCAAAAATTCCATGTAACGATTTTTGCCTTACCGTGCTGCATTAATGGGAATACAATTTCCGCTTTGTTTGTTTGTTTGTATGTTTCCCCCTTTTTAAAGATGCCTGTTCTGTCATAAAACCAAGTTTATATCTGATGTGTTAAAAATATTGCTCATTAAGTTGACCCATTATACATTACATAATGAGCAGACGGAAGTCCCCACTTAGTACAAACAAAAATTCAGTTGTTACACCCTTTTATACATCCAAAGGTATATCCAGCCAAGGGGAGGAGCCTGAAGGGCACACAAGAAGGAAGGCACATGCTTGGCAATATTGCAGCAAAAAAATAAAATAAAAATAAAATAAAAATAAAACAAAAATAAAACAAAAATAAAATAAAAACAAGAACAAAAACGTGGTAGCGTCTTTGTTTAATTTTTTTTACAATTTCTGCTTATGGCAAAGTGCTCTCAGACGGGGAATGCATATAGTGGTACCCTTACCATACGTAACTGCGGGAAAGAATCAAAAAAACTGTTCTGATTGATACACAAGCATGGCAAAAAAAAAAAAATGTCCCAAATATAATTCTCCTCAGGCGCGCAGCCAGACACATCATATGTGTCTGTCTACACGCTGTTCTGCCTCCTCTCCGACAACACATCACCGCTGCTATAAAATTGCCATAAACATAGAAATAATTTTACACTATCTTTTTTGCAACTGCAAAAAAAGGAGGATCATATGAGAAAATTATATATTTCGCGAAAGTGTGCCATCACTTTGAAATCCCTTGACGATTTTACAACATAATGCGTTTTTTTTTTTTTTTTCCTTTTTCCTTCCACAGTCCCGATTTTACAATAAAATCTTTTCGTACTTCCACCCAAAGGAGAAAGAATCTCCACAATGAGGAACCCCCTCCTGTGCAACTCTGAAATGATGACTTCCTCGAATAAAAATAAAAAACGCCTTCCCATTTTTCGATTTCTATAAATTTTTTCAAACGTACTTACGTGCGAAAGGGACCCCACTGTGTAACGGTGAACGCAGGAAATAGATCAAAGCGAAGGACCACAAAATAGGAGAGGAAAAAAAGTCGGTTTTATCTTCACATGTGAAGCATCGCAAGGCGCATTTGTTTCGGTTTCTAACGATTGAGAAATAAGTAGCAAGTGAACGATAGTTTGCTTTTCCTGCTGCTTCTCTATCTGGTTCTCCTTTTTTTTCGACGTTTTTACAAAATGAATAAAATCGCAAAAGTAAACAATTACATTTGCAACAGTCTTCCTTTTCGAGATATGATTCTCTCAGCTATGAAGGTGAGGAGAAAGACCCTTTCCCTAGACGAAAAATGGGATCAAAACAGAATTTTTTTATCAAACTTACATTGCGCAAATAAGAAGCACACGGTGGAAAATTACACCTCAATATTTTTAAATGACAACATTTTAATTGGTAATAAAGCAGTGGTGAGTGAAGAAGCCTCACCTGAAGATTCCTCCAAACAGACCCTGCTTTTTTGGAATAGAAGCCCGGGTGCTAGATACCCCAAAAAGGTATACATCATTTTTGCCCCATTAGCCTCTCCCCAATTTTTCTTATGCTAAAGTTGAGCATCTTTTGTACGATTTTTTACGTCCGCACGTTTTTATAACCTTTTTTTTCTTTTCTTTACTTGTACATGCCGGTTTCGTCCCATTGTGGGTTTTTCTCGAATATCCCCGTTGGCATCCTCCCTTCGCCCCTTCTACTTCTCTTAGGCGAACAACGGAGCCCGTCCAGACTGCCGTTCGGTTAGAAAAATTAGGAAGAGATTAAAAACGGGCAAGTAGACATTTCTATAAAAGGAACTCAGCGATTATGAGTGATGTAGCTACGCGAAATAGTTACCTAGTGAAGCATACCCCCCATTCGCGGCACCGAATTGGTTTGTCATGTGGAGGATTCATCCCAATTGTGATATGAATTCCCGAGGTTTTTAATGCTGATTCGGGAGGGGGTGCACCAACGTATGCATTATGTACATACGCTTGCACACCTGTACTGGCAGGGAACTGCGAAGGAAGTCCAATGGTGAACTCGTCCCAGTTGCAAAAGAAAAAAAAAAGGGCACGTCAAATTAGAATATAATCTTTTTTTGCATATACATCCATTTCTTCTGCTTCCTTACCACGGAATAGTTTTTCATCGAACCTTAGTTTTTCACATAGCAATGACGATGACCGGGCTTTATTGAAATCCCCACAACGCATTTTGCGCCAAAAAAAAAAAAAAAAAAATTATTTCCATTTTATTGGAAAAACCTCTTATAATTTTGCACAAAAAAGGTAGAAAACAAACTAACTGGTGATGCAAACTGCTTTTTGCAACTTTGCAATAGACTCCAAATTGTTAACACACCTTTTGGGTGCACGTAGATAATGTTTTCCTATTTTATCCATTTTTTTTTCTTTTGGAGCTCATCCCAACGCGCTAACAAAAAAGGTCTACATAGGGAAATGCCTGAGTCGCGTCAGCACGATGGACTCGAATTCGGTGCTGAGCTATTTTGCCATTAAAGCAAAAATGAGGCTATTCCTGAAAAAAGCACTATTTTCTTTGTTAATAAAGAGAACGTCTTTATCGAAAAGCGCAAATAGGTGTGGGGGGGATGTATACCTGGGGGGCATGCCTAACCATCACATAAGAGACCACTAGGAAGGACATTAAAAATTTATAAACAGAGTTCTTTAAAAAAAAGGATATTCACATAAACAAAGAGGAGTGTCGTATTCAATTTTTCTCGTGCTTGTTTGTGGTTCGATGAACGGTGTGGAGTGTTCCATGTGTAACATTCTGCGGCCGCTGCGCGCATCAGCTGGAGAGCACGGTAAGAAGACAAACAAACGGAAAAGTTGCGGTGAAAAATTCAAAATTCAAAAAATAAAAAAGCATACACAGGAGAGTGGGAAAAATTAAAGCGTAAAAAATGAAGTACCAAAAACATACATTCACTTCTGGAAGGGGAAAAAAAAAAAAAAATATATTTGTATGAGTATGTAAAAGGGGGCATCCCGCCTGATGGGCAGTAAACTTCCTAAGGGGGGACAAACGAATAGTTAAAAAGAGGAAACATACCATCCCGGACATGGCAGCGCCCCTCTCCAAGGTAGAAACACACGTGCGATTATGTCCCAGTGGAATTGCTTGAAAAGTGCAACATGCTAAGAAGCCTTGACAGGCAGGACGGATTACTCCAGTCGCTTGTAGAGCAAATAGTTCTTTTTGTAGTGACCCCTGTAGCGTGTCTTTAGGAGGAAAACATAATCATTACGCATTTCCCTGAAGAAAGCTTTAATTTCCCCTTTGTATATACTGATAAGTTTGGCAGTCAACTTGGAAGTGGCCCCATTGTCCTTTGGGATCTTAAGGTCTTCATCTGTTAGTGAAAATAAATCTAATTTCATCTGAGCAATCATTTTTGATAGTGCTTTTTTCTTTGCCTCGAAAAAACTGTTAATGACGCTAACCATAGGTAGTCTTTCCACTTGGGTAAGGGCATAAGCTTTGACACTAGGATCGTAATCATTTAGCACATAATCCGTTTTTGTGATTTTCTTTTGCTCCTTGTGTAGTAACGCTTCGAAGTGAACATCGGTGAGCATACCACTCCTTGGCATTAATTTCATTAAATTTTTAATCTGTTCGTGTATGCCTGATATGACTGCATTGTAAATGGTTATATTTTTAAAGCAGGCCCCGTAAAGTCGAGTATATTCCGTAATATAGGAAGTCATTCCTTGGAGGGATTGGTAGATACTATACTGGGAAACATATCTATCACAAACAGTTTTGAATGCGAAAAAGGTGTAGTCTCTCTTTAAGTGGTACATATTTTCATAGATCCATGTGAGTTTTTCGAAAATGGGCTCTGGATTTTTCTGAATTTCATTAAATAGTTTGTTAACTAATTTTTTGCTTTTGTAAGTCAATCCATTTTGAAGCAAATATAATTTGGATTTCACATTTTTTAGGACAATTTTAGTATCCTGTGATGAATCCAGATCTTCATATATCAAAGATTCGAGGTGACAATCGATAGACTCAGTCATATATTTTGTAAATTTCTCTTCATACACAACAGGATCTTCTCCTCCCATAAGTTCTTTGATTTGATTTTTTTTGAGAAAAGTTTCCAACGTTTTTGGATTTAATAAACAGAAATTGACATTTTCTAAAGTATTTACATCATTTTTTACCAACTTGTAATCATCTGCGAGGGTCAAATAATCTAAACTGGGTTGATATTTTATCAAATCATTTTCAATTTCGTACAATCTGACGTGATAGTCACCAATGGAACCAATCACATTTCCGAATGGTGTTTTATTGTCTGGTAATTCGAAGTCGAATAATCCGAAAGTTTTCAGGCATTCTTTATTATGATCGAAGATTCTGTTAGTAGTGGCTTCCTTTTCTTGATTCTTTTCTAATTCTTTTCGTAAGTTTTCCATGTTGTCAAAGAAAAAGATACTGTTTGGGCAGGTGTAAAGAATACTCTCTTGGTAGGGTTCATATTTATGAGATATGCCTAAATCCCTCATGGTTTTTTCCTTGTTTAACACTTTTTCAGGAGTATAGGTAATCAATGATATTTCCTTTTTCATCGGTTCGATTGGTTTTTTAAATGGGTTTAAATTTTTGAGGAATTCTTTGAATCCACTCTTAATTTGAGTATCTGTATAATCACGTTTTATAAAATTCACGTCATCATCATCCTTGCTTTCTTCCTCGTTGCTGTCTGCCAACATTTTTAATCGCTCTTCCTTTCTCGCCTCCTCAATCGCTTTATGTTCCTCATCCAAGGTTTTTCCTTCTTCTTCCTTCACTTTTATGTATTCATTTTTCAAAATGTCCATTTCTTTAGTCAACTTATCCATGGGATGATTATATGCAATATCATACATTTCTTTTTGGAACTCTTTGTTGCCTATAGTGGATGACATGTCACTGTCATAGGCCGAATAGTCTGAATATGAGCTGCCTCTAGATTTGGATCCCGATTTCGCTGAATATCTCGATTTTCCGTCGGAAGAGCTCCTGCTCGATTCTCCGGAGTTCGATTTGGGTTTGCCCGGTTTTCCCTCTTCGTTCTGGTTGGCCATGAAGTTCCAATCTCCATAGGACGCTTCGGGGGGAGAGAGAAGCGATGAATTGTAAAAATGGGGCAGCAACGAATTGTAAAAGCGGGGATACGTTTGCGAAGATGTGCTACGGGAGAAAAACGCAAACTCGTTGACGTCACCCCTCCTCGCCAGCAGAACCAGTCGAACTTGATGCACACAAACGGTCTGCTCATTGATTCTTTCTTTTAATTACCTTTTTCTGATTTGGAACCGGACAGATCTTCGTTCGAACTATCCATTTCTTTGATGGATTTAGTTTCCAAGAAGGATATATCTGACACATTTTTCGTCCATGTGTTTAAAAAATTTGCATCGTCTAACTTCATCCACGAATTGATATCATCTACGTTAAACTCTTCGGGCTCTCTGTGGTTACTTATTCTCCTTTCCCCATTTATGTGTATTCCAGAGGAAACATTTTGGTAGAGTGCATAAAAAAGCACCAACAAGGAACTTCCGTAAGTTATCATCTTTTTCTATCCGAGGTGTGATTACTTTTTTGGAGAAATTTCTTTATGCGGATGGCATGGAGAGGTGTGCATATAGGTGTTTACCTTTTTGTGTGTACCTTTTTGCGTGTACTCTTTTGTGGGTACCCTTTTTCGTGTACTTTTTTGTGTGCGCGTGGGAGTGCAAATGTGGGTGGCGTTTATGCCGTGCAAAGTCTAAAGAATAAAGATTAGTCCCAATTGACAGTGGCGTGTCGCAGAAGGTTGTGGGCGGTTGCAATTCAGCTGCACTCGTTGCAACGGCCCATGACACCCGAAAATTGGGTTAAAGACAAAATCGTAGAAAAGACGAAGTGGATGAAGAAAAAAGTTAAAACGGAAATTAATCAAAAACAAAATCAAAATGTTGGGAACGTCTGTCACCAGTCTGTCCTAAAAAATCACACACATGAATGAATTATTTAGAATAATTCTTTTGCAAAAGTTGCACAACTTTTGAAATGTTACAAATGAACAATTTTATTTTTATTTTTTTATTTCATTTAAATCATTTTGACGAAAATAGCACATGTTAACAATTTGTGGCAATTTTATTTTTTTTTAACTTTGCGAAACATACACACTCAAGTATTTTCACACGTGAGTGTCGCATAACTGCATATTTCAGCCGTGCACATAATCGCTGGTTTGTCATGACATCGCGTTCCTGCTTTTCAGTGCATTTCGCCCCTGGCGCAGCGTTCGTTTGGCAATTTTCCGTTTCGCCACTTTGCCATTCTGCCAAACATTTCCCCTTTTTTCGTTTTTAAATGTGAAAATTCCCATGGCCATATTTTTAAAGCACTCTCGACAGAAAAGCGCAAACGACTCGGTCTGCTTCGCATAGACAACACTGCTTTGGTCGCTGTTTTTCCTTTTTCCTTTACAAAGCAAATTGCCATATTGTTGGGTCGTCATGGAAACATGTCCGCGCATGTGCACATTTACGCATTTACACATTTAAGCATTCTATAACAATCTTTTTTTTTTTTTTTTTCTGTTCGCGTCTACATTCTGGTGCTGCGCAGTGCATACATCTTTCGCAAACAAAAAAAAAATGTCCCCCTTGTAGATTATAACTTTATCACACAGAGCCGAACTGGAAGAATTTTTTTTTTTTTAAAATAGGGAAGTCGGAAGATTTTTCTCTTTTCTGTTTGTAACAAATTGTCTAAAGTTAATTTTTAAAAAAGGGTCAGTACCAATTGTTAACGCGCCAACAAATGGCATACGCATATGGCATAATCAGCATGTGGTGATAAAGGGAAGGTATCTTCAAAAGCGTTCAGGCCGCCTGCGGATTACACTCGCTGTGCGAACATCCCCGATGGCGGATTAATTCTGTTTTACGCTTCCGTAACGTTGGCAGTGACGCACTTTGTCTCACATTCTTGCCTCGTGACGGAAAATGTATCCACTGGGCCAAAGGAAAAAAAACAAAAAAACAGAAAAAAAACAAAAAAA